TATATATATATATATATTATATATATACATATTTAAACAATAGTCGTATCCCGTGGTTTGAGAAGGATAAAAGACAATTCCTTATTATCAAACAAAGTGGTATATTCTGTAGATCGACAGGGCTGCTCATATGGGATTTCAGGTTCTGAACATCTTAGGCTGCATAGTTAATTTCTAAAATCGACTTTTGCAATAAAAAACACATTTCAGAATTAATTATAATTACCTAAAACAATCTCTTATGCGCAACCCATACGGACTTTCTGTTGTATGTCGCGAAGTGAAGAGGGTAAGAAACCCCCGACATAACGTTTTTTGAATATATTCATTGTTGAAGAGTTCCAATGATTTGCCTTGCATAATAATAATTATTATTAATAAATAATAATAATAATAATAATAATAATAATAATAATAATAAACATTGTTCACATTTTGTCGTAATACTTTATTGACATAATATCGACTTCTCTCATCTAGACAGAGGATCAAGAAGCCATTCTCATCGTTTGGTGTCCGTTAAATATTTAAATGTTCGCCGTCTGCTAAGAGCAATTCAAGAAAATGTGTTGGAATTCAAAGATCCCGTATGAGTACATGTATTACGTATTACTACTTTCTTTTCACTTAAGAACAATGCCGTTTATACAGGCATCAATTCTATGTTATGACAAGAGGAAATGACACATTTGTATGTCATTTTTTTGTTGCATTTTTGTCGATTTCAACTAATTATTTTTTATTTTTCCCGACATTTTTAATACATTTTATCTGGTTTTGTCGATTTTGATATTTAAATTGTACTAGCTTCAAATATGTTTTACGAAATGCAACAAATGTTCTGCCCAGAATTCCTGAGTAGCCTATCCGATTTCTTGGCACAGAAATTGTATCACCAAGGTTTACAAAGTGAAGTCGTAGGCTTTCGCGACCAGATTCATACAAATGATCTTCGCTGTCTTAGTGACGCCGCGTCAAAGACTGTGGTGCCAACGTTTCGACCATCTTGTCGTCGTCTTCCTCAGTCACGCCTCAGTTATGCCTCAGGCATGCCTCAGACTTCGCAGACCCAGCGCTGAGGAAGACCACAACCAAATGGTATAAACATCGGCACCACAGCCTTCACCTGGACAGTCAAGATCATTGGCAAGGATTACAAACATGAACGGCGTCTGTTATTTACTGTTTATCGGCCTAATGTCGTTAACACTTTAGGAAGTGCGACAGAGGAGCTTTAAATGTTGATCGCCGCCGTGTTGTGCTGGGCGTGGGCGTGGGCGTGACGACTGCGTGTGTGGTTGCAGGGACCAGTGCGACGCCATCGGGGAGCTGGCGGGGCGCGAGGGCGCGGACGCTCACTGCCAGGACATGTGCATCGTCAACAACCCGCAGTGCCCCGAGGACCAGTGCAGCTGCTATTGAGCCCCCACCCCACCCCCACCCCTACCCCCCTCTCCCTCCACTTTCTGTTTGGCATTCACTTCGTTCGGACTCTCGCACGGCTCTCTTCTACTGTCTCTTCTGGGTATGGGGAAAAGGGCTTTCTTCAATATTTCTTCACCAGGAATTTTTTTACTTGTTGTCCCAGTATCTTAGGGGCTTGTGGCATTTAAAATGATATTTGACGTCTAAATTATTCTCTTCAACGTTGTATTCTTCGGTATAGAGAATACGCTGTTGGAACACGATCTATACTTGGAAACGTTTCTTTGGTTGTGAAACGAATGAAAGGAATTCGAAGATATAGATTTGTGTTCTTGTCATTCTCAAAAGGTTTAAGCGTTCGCGGGTACAAACGTTTTTCACGGTCTATTACGTCTTTCCGGGGTATTTTTGTTTGTCTCAGCAAACATAGTTGGAGGAGAGAAAAATCTTAAGAGTTACAAAAATCCTAAATTGCCTGAGGTAACGTGGTGTGGTTATCAAGGGGTGTGTAAATATCTAATTCTATTTAAATCTACGTCGTCTTGAAATAAATCCGTCCTCGGTTGTCACTTCCTGGTTAAATAAAATTACAAAGGGTGCCAGTTTTAGAGAAGTAGTAAATGAAGTGCCGTACAACAGCCTCTCAAGAGGTTCAATTTTCTGTTCTTCCAAAGTAATGCGTTCTTGGGCGTTTTAATGGTCATAATAAAGAGGTCAGAGCAACACAATGATTAATTTCACTTTTCATTTTAAATTAAGATCTTAGAATATCCTTTGAAAACAAAATTTTGATGACAAAATACTCTAGAAACATATTCGTAGAAATACAATATGTACATAAGAAACTGCAGGACGTGTATACACACTAAGAGAGATTGTATTTTCACAAACTTTGGTTACCCTCTGGCTCACCAAAAACAGGAGATATCATTGTGTTGCTCTTCCCCTTAGTTTTGCTATATATGCCTATCCAAAACCCCTCGAACAAGTTTCTACAAACTACGAAAATTCGATAATTAATTGTGATAAAATTGGTATGATAATAAAGGTAAAATCTAGTGAAAAGTGTGTATGGTGCCTTGAGATGAAATCATTGAATCC